ACCAGTTGAGAGGGTGGGTGGGTGGGTTCAGCCTGGCTGAATTGTCTGCTTAAATGAAATCCCATTAACAATTCTGCAGCAGTGTTCTTTATGAATTCTAACATTTAGCCTAAATAAATTGTTTGGTTGCTGAGAGGCGGTTTCACTGACTTGGGTTTGATTTTCTTGTGTCAAAGTCTTTATGCCTTCTGTTTTGTAGATTAAGATGATGTATCAGTAATCAGAAAAGAAACTGCCCCATTGAGGGTTCTTTCCTAAGAAGCTTTTATCGAATTATAGCCATGTCCACTTGACTTTTCTTGCATTAGAACAGACTGCATTTCTAAACATACTTTTCATGACATCTTGATGCTTAACATTGAAAAATGAAAGAAGAAACAATCTTAAATTACCAATCCAGAACTGCAGGAAGAAGGTGGAAATATCTACACGGGCAAACAAACCCACATTTGGCCCAAGAATTAAGTTATTGGCATCACTATCAACTTGGTCTACTTGTAGCTTCTCTAAACTGAGTACATATTCTAGGCAACATCTCTTTATTACTTAACTTTTGTTAGAATCCAGAGTTCTGGGTTATAATAGATATTTTGGTTGAAGGATTAAAACATTGATCATGGTAGTTATGATGGGGAAGATTTATAGTCGAATAAGCTGAATATAGTTAAAAACTTGATTTGTCTTGGTAATCAACTGCTTGATGTCTTATTTAGTATAACACAAGTGCTAATGCATAAACACAAGCGTCTGTATAATTGGTTCATGACCAGATTTTCCAGTAGTGCAAGGTGACAAATTACTACATATTGGTGTCCTGAAGAGACACTAAAACACACCTTGTTGGACAGGAACTACTTCATACGCAATTATTTTTTATGACTTCTTTTAGAACTAGTGCTTTACCCCGTCCTCTGACTGCAATAGAAACTGAGGCAAGTAGATCGTAAATGATTAATTCATAATTACTTTTTGCAAATTGTAAAAATTGGATGTGTGGATTAAACATCCATTTATATATTTTTTAACCAATTATTGCAACTGGTAAGCATTGGACATTGATGAATTTGATAGTTATTTCTTATTATTCTGTGGAGAGAAGTTTTTAAGTCCTTCCATACCTTTTTCATACACATGTATTGGACAACTGTAGAATGATAATAGAATATTGATCTATCATTGACACAAATATGCTAGCAGGTCACAGGAATACCAGTTGTATTTGTTTCAGCACTGGAAGGAAAGGGTCGGATAGCTATAATGCATCAGGTGATTGATACATATGAAAAGTGGTGTTCGAGATTGCCAACAGCTCGTCTTAACCGTTGGTTGCGCAAGGTCAGTATTCCAATATCATCTACTTTTCTCCCACAAGACCTGTGAAATGTGCATTTATTGGGCAGTGAAAATTCGTTGTGTGTCTGGTCAGGTAATGAGCAGGCATTCTTGGAAAGATCAGGCTGCTCAATCCAAGATCAAATATTTCACTCAGGTGAAGGCCAGACCGCCTACTTTTGTTGCCTTTGTGAGTGGGAAGACACAGCTCTCAGATACGGACCTGAGATTCTTAACAAAATCGTTAAAGGAAGATTTTGATTTGGGTGGCATTCCTGTCCGGATCATGCAGCGCTCAGTACAGAGGAATACTGAGGATAGTAGTGGCAACAGCAAGAGCAAGCAATACCCTGGAAAAATGGTGAAGATGGTGTCTGATAAAAGAAGCATCATAGAGGAACAAGTTGTTTAAAAGGCATGCACCAGAAACCCATAGCCTAAACCTAAAAAGTGGGGGAGAAAAATAAAGAAAATAATGCTTATTTTTTTATTTATTTATAAATGCCATGTGAGACGCTGTAGTCGAGCACAAGGCACTCCTTGTTTAGCCGAATATATACATGTAGATATGAATGTATATTTAGAGCAGTTGGAAAAAGGAAGTTATTCTTCGAATGCGTACATATGTGTTACTTTCACGTGATGCATGTAGGCCAAATGTGGGCACAGACTCATTGCTGGCTCTTTCCAATCTGTAAGGAGGTTCTAAAACACTTCTTCTTTTGGTTGTGTCGATCAATTTGGTGGATGTGTGAAAGCACTACTTCATAGAGGAGACCCACCCTTTTAATCTGTGTCACTTGTCTACCACGTAGCTGCCAGTTATATGTTTAATATACGATAATGAAGAATTATAAATAAGCTGCTCAAAAAAAAAAAGAAAAAAAAAAGAATTATAAATATACTTCGCTTGCTTGTGGTTTCGGATACCTACAGTCAGTATTTGTCTTGTGAAAATTTTGAACGATGTGATTAGCATGACTCATGTGCATGTACAAATAAAAAATAAAACTTTTTTATGATAACTTTTGTATAACGGTAAAGTTGTTAGTACATTTAATTCACCTTGATGTGAAGAGATTTGAATATGTTCTTTTTGCACTTTTTTTGGGCCGTAAGTAAGTGAGGCGGTAGCATAGAGTCTCATTTGTGTGTCTTACAAAATTATATGATTAAATTTTAAAAAGAATGTAAAAAATTTAAGATGTTACGTGAAATGATCAAAATGGAATTTACTATTATTTTTTTAATCATAAATATATATACATTCAAAAAGAAGAAAAAAAAAAGATTGTATCATATTCTTGTACAAAGCAGCAAAGAATAGATACCATTCCCCCACCCGAGCCTGCAGTTGGTAGGCCAAATCCCTTTCTCCAAGTGATTGAGTTGAAACTTTGGGCATAGAGCGGAGTGAGCCTCTACTCTCTTTATTTATTTTCAATAACTCTGGTCTATTTATTCAATTTTATTTTCTTATATTATAATTTTGAGTTAATTTTGATCTTAATCATTTACACAATGTATTTATTTTATAAGTAATTTTGCACCTTAAATATACCTATTAAAATATATGAATTTAAATATTTAAAAATCTAAAATTGAGTCCCATCTAAATTTTTTGCATGGAACCTCAAGTGTTCTTGGGCTGGCCCTATTTCCGAGTAGGTGATCAAGATGATTATAAACGAAATAAGCCACAAACCATATAAAAAAGATTAGACTTCATTATCTTATCCTAGTCAATAAGACAAAGCTCTAGGAAGACATTGAAAATCTTCGTAGAAAAGGGTGTTTTTTGCGATGTTTTTTGTTACATTAACAATAAACCATTTCAAAAACCTATTTTTTTGTTGTCTTTGTTAACTTTATGGTTGTTTTCTTCTTGTAGTTATTAGTTGCTGTTTAGCATACTTGCTGCGAATACTAAGCTGATGGTACAACGTCTTTATCTTCATATCTCCTACCCTCTGTTTTTCATGCTTACCCCCTCATCGTCTCTCACACACTCGTATACCCATGCTTCAACCACGCACACGAAAAAAACAAAGCTTTAAGGCACTTACCCATCCACACACACACCCACAAGTAGAAATCCACTACACGACTATAATTCAATTTGATTTCATGCAAATTTAGTGGATTTAATTTTTTAATTTCAATTAATTTCGATCGTAATTCAAGTCGATTTGATAATGACTAGAGTATGTGATGATGTCGAGAGTTATGCGGTTGAGAAATTGAGCTATTTTGATCTTAATTTCTATTTTGAATAGCCATAAAACTAGTTTATGTTTTGTATGACATAGTATAAATGCATGTATATGAAATCGTCCTTAGGCAGATTTTGCGGGTTAGCCCCATCTAAGTAAGGTTCAACTTGGACAGGCCAACTCAAGTCCAACTAGAAAAAATTAAGACTTTGAGATTTTTAAAACTTGGGTTTAACCTGGGTCAAAAACCTTAATTTAAATTGAATTCGGACAATAATTCGAGAATTCGGGCTACCGGATCCAACATGAGTTAATGAAATTAGGCTCAACCTGATAAATTACCAAAGCTATACATGTACATTGCACATTACTACACAGCCTTGGCTGGTTTGTTCATCACAAACTCAGCCTCTGGAGTCCATCTCAGTGATCTCACGCCTATCTCCGTCATTCAGATTTCTCTCACTCAGATCCTCTCCACTTAGATCTCTCATTATTAACGGTGAGCGTTTAAGTGTCACGACCCATCACACCTGGAGATATAGGAAGCCCTCTCTCTTAGTTCGATGCTTGGATCTTCTTCACACAGATTGAGTGTTACTAATACATTTTTCTAGATGGAGACCCCCTAGGCTTTGGGTCAATTATAAGGAATTACACTTATATTCTTGGATATTACCGTCGGTCAACGGTAAAACACATTGTCCTAGTATGGTACATGCTCTTACAATGGTAATATACACCATGGTTTATAACATGGAACGGTAACTTTAGTGCTGAAAATAACATTTACAATAGTGTTGACTAACTGTTAATATCACTTTTTTTTAGTTCTTGGGACATCCCAGAAAATCGAAATAATATAGAGAAAATTACCATGACCCCTTACGCAATAATGACATGTATAAATTGAAAATATCACTTTTTTAAGATAATTTTTGTATAATGGTAAAGTTGTCAGTATATTTAATTTAGGAAAAATTACACTTAAATCTCTTGAGATTTGTCACTTAATCACTCAGACCCCCTGACATTTGAAATATTACACACAGACATCCTGAGGTTTGTATGCACGTAACACTTAGACTCTCTGCTGTAAATATATCCGTTAATAAATTACACTTAGATCTCTTTAAAGTTTATAGGTATGTAATACTTAGACCCCTTAAATTTAAAATATTATACTTTGATAAAAAATACTCTAATCAAAGATAAAATATCAAATATTTTAAATTTTATAACCAAAATTTATGTTCTATTATATAATTTATTGAAATAAAATTAAATTTTTCTTAAAAAATCGTAATTAGTATACAATTATATTATCTATTGGAATAAAACTAAAAAATCAAACAAAGGGTCTAAGTCATTCATAATAGAACATGCAAAATTTATAATCTATTATGTCATTTATTGAAATAAAATCAAAAATAAAAATCTAGTTTTTTTTAAAAAAAAATCATAGTTAGTATATATTATACTATCTATTAGAATTAAACTAAAAAATTAAACAAAGAATCAAATTGTAATGAATACAATATCTTTTAGCTTTAATTGGGGTAATTTGATATTTTATTTTGTCTTTTAAATGATCAAATTAAATTCCAATAGACAATATAATTATATACTAATTACAATTTTTTTAAGAAAAAATAATTTTTTAATTTTTATTTTATTTCAATAAATGATCCAATAAAATATGAATTTTAATTGTAAAATTTAAAATATTTGATATTTTATTTTTGATTGAAGTATTTTTAGTTTAAGTATAACATTTTAAATTTAAGGGGTCTGTGTGTAATATTTTAAATATCAGAGGTCTGAATAATTAAATAACAAACTTCAAAGAGTCTGAGTGTAATTCCCCATTTAATTTATCTTGAAGTCAAGAGATTTGAATACGTTCTTTCTGCACACTTTTTGGGACCGGCTCTACCCCTAAGCAAGTGAGGCGATCGCCCACGACCCTTACTCGCTTAGGGTCTCATGTATGTCTTTCAAAATTATATGATTAAATTTTTAAAAAAGTATAAAAATTTTAGGATGTTACGTGAAACAATCAAAATAAAATTTACTAGTATTTTTTTTTTAAATCATAAATATATGTACATTCAAAAAGAAGAAAAAAAAAGATCATATTATATTTTTGGACAAAAAATTACAATATTCTACTCTCTCATTTTATTTGTTTCCAATAACCCTGGTATATTTATTCAGTTTTATTTTCTTGTGTTATAATTTTTGAGTTTATTTTGATTTTAATATAATCATTTACACAATGTGTTTACTTTACAAGTTATTTTACACCTTATTAAAATATATGAATTTAAATATTTAAAATTTAAAACAAAAATAAATAAATTATGCATCTAAAAAAATTTAGGGCCCCACCTAAATTTTTTGCCTAAGACCTCAACTATTCTTGACCCGACCCTGTTTTCGGGTAGGTGATGAAAACAATTATAAACGAAATAAGCCACAAATCATATAAAAAAGATTGGACTTCGTTATCTGATCCCTATCAGTAAGACAAAGCCTTATGAAGCCGCGGTGTGTTCAATAAATAAATAAAAAAAATGATTGCACTATATCCTTGTACAAAAAATTACAAGACTCTACTCTCATTTTATTTAAATTCTTAATAACTCTCACCTATTTATTCAGATTAATTTTTTTAAATTATAATTTTTGAGATAATTTTGATCTTAATATAATCAATCACATAGATTGTTTGTTTTGCAAGTTGTTTTTGATCTTAATCATACCTACTAAAGATATAAATTTAAATATTTGAAATTAATAACAAATAACCAAGTTATTCATCAAAAAATAATTCAAGGTCCCATCTAAAATTTTTGCCTAAGGCCTCAAGTATTCTTGGACTGACCCTGTCTCTCGTATCATAATATTCTTATCTTTTAGACTAGGTGGTTTGTTAGGAATATCTCTTTTGTTTAATTTCGTTTCTCCTTTGAAGAAAAAAAACCCCTAATTTTAGCCTTGGTCAATCAATAAAAACATCATGGCCCTTGCCTCTTTTCTAATACACACAAACACACCACACACCACACACGACACAATATACACAAACATAGACACACAAACAACGTCTTTGTCTTCATACTTTCTACCCCTGTTTTTCATACTTACCCCCCAAGGTTCAAACCACACACAACTTTTTTAAGGCACTTACCCACCCATTGTAGACATGGTGTAGCCATCTAATAATAAGAAAGTAATAAAATGGATAAAATAGGGTCCGCTTCCTATCATGGAGGTAGTTATATATTATATGACTGAGTGATTATGAGTTTTAGTGAGACTCATTTGCTGACTTGTTTACCTATTAATGGACGATTACATTACGTGACATAGCTGACATGGTATAATGGTAACGTCCAATATTTTTGCCCACTCAACCACACACCCCCACAAGTAGA